TCACAGGTTATGATTTATTGGAAGTCTTATTACTTATGTATCTATAACAAGAGCACTATACCATGCACATATTGTAAGTACACGTCATATCACTTAATGATCATCACAAGAGCACTATACCATGCACATATTGTAAGTACACGTCATATCACTTAATGATCATCACAAGAGCACTATACCATGCACACATTGTAAGTACACGTCATATCACTCAATGATCATCACAGGCGCGCTCAAATTGGCTCAAAGTAAACATTTCATAAAAGTTCACCGAGTTAATGCAATACAAGCAAACGCGCCTACTTTCCTACTATCTAAATAGATGTCAAACGTTTTTTCTATTTACGTCTTCAGCAGGCTAGTTTATATATTGGAAGGGAGTTAAAGATAAAATCAGTTCCCATATCACTAGCACTTCCTGACACCGTCATTAATACTCAGTTACACGTTTTAATTATTCTTGTATTTATCAATAACACAATAAAAGTATAAATACATATAGAATATATGATTACCTAATAATGCGTGAATCGAAATGTGGTTTACAGCTTTGTAATATTTCGAGAACTTCCAGATTTTGGGGTATAAATGTTGGAAGTCTTTATACCAATAACTTTTTTTAAAGATTTTTTTTATAGAAATGCGATAAGTCGTGATATTATTATCTGTATAACGCCATATAAACAGATGTCAACCGACCGAATCAATCTTAAAAATTTGAAGGAGACAGCATCGAAAGGAGTAGAATAACATAGGCATCTGAAATAATGAAAAAATAGCACAGTCAATCATTAATGTAATTGACTTATATAAACTTTTATCAAATAGTGTTATCAAACTGATACAATTTATGAAATTCACGTGTAATAACGCAAAGCAGAGCTGTGATGGATTGAATGCATTATTTGAATTGTTACCTCATCACTTCTGGGCATTGAATACAGAACGCCTTCACCAAATATAGAGGAAATGTGTAAGAAAGTAAGACGAATAACGTCAGTTAAGATTTCAGCAGTCTACTAAATACAATGACTTCGTAAAGGTATTCAGTTAAATAATGTCAGTTAAGATTTCAGCAGTTTACTAAATACAATGACTTCGTAAAGGTATCTCAGTTATTATAGATATGTGTCTTCAAAGCAAATGATGAACCTAGTCATGACCTTACTTCCCCTCAAGAGAGGATGTCAGTGATACGTACTGTGTTACAACACTACACTTACAGTATTTTGAATTACCAGCTTTATATATTTCATAGATCATGTTTTTATTTTATATACTCAACGTTGAAGGAATCAATACAATTACGACACATTTTCTGCTTTTATTTAAGACATACATTTTAAGACTATTTTTTTTTATTTATCTTTTTATGCAATTAATTTGAAAAACAATCAATGCTTTATTAATCCAATATTATAGCCTTCCATGCTCCCAGCAACTCCCCATTTTCACTGCAAATTGCATTTCGTAAACAACAGAGAGTTGTAGATTAGTCAGAAATGCCAACTGTCATAAACAGTAGTTATCTCTCACTTTAGACAATTAACCTGTTCATTTAACATCGGCGTCCAGGCGACGAACCACACCAACCTAAGCCTACACCACATGGCGATGATAGTTACAGTTTGCTGTGTGTTAACGAAGGAATCCTATTTGCGGTTTATTTTAATGGTTCGGGCGTCAATGACCAAGCGTGATATCTGTAATGTCGCCTGAGAACTCAGAACGAAAACAAAACAGATTCATTTTGACTGTATGTCAATCGAGAACAGACAAGATATAACAACGCTAAGTATTATACTATGGCTAAAAACAGGCCCACGGTATCTGTGTACATAACAACTGGACTTTAAAAGAAAGAAGTGGATACGCGAACGTTGTGAATAGGTTTAACGTCCAAAATGCGAGTCGAACTGGAACGGTGCTTCTACTATCTGTTTTCATCTCTCATCAATAAGATTGCAAAGGAAACGGCAGGTCAATTGTGATTTTGTATTTTCTATAGATCTAGTTGGTGTTAGAATATCCATTGTTTTCTGTGAAAACATTTGTCATGTCGATATCACGAAATATCCTATCTTGCAGGACAGCTATTTAAGTGTTGATTGTTTTTTCCCGAAACGATAACATGACTTAATGACGATTCATAATCACTAACAATTTCAGATTGCAATTTCAGAAGATAAAAATTTTACAAAGCAACCTATGTTATATTACTTTTTATCTCCAATCGATATATTTTATTTGTCTTTCTCTTAAAGGGACTAGATAGTTTGATTTCGTTATTATTGCTATGCGTTTCATTTCTGGCAAGCATTGTAATACTTAAAATTAGTCTTCACAAAATTATTACACTCTCAGAGACTGATACAAATTATCAGCTTCAAACTAAAGTTAATCGACACTCGCTGTTGTGTTTAGAACAATTGGCGGAGTCAATCACGTGACTTTTCGGAGCATCGTTTAAACCCGGCTTTTTTTATATGATTTCTTATGCAAAATTATGTAATTAGCGAAAGCTTAATTTGCCAGCCATGTTTCAATTCTTACTTTATAAAATGACCTCTTGTTTCCTGCTATATGCATAATAACTGAACTTGAATTAATCAGAATCTAAAAATGCATCCGCAAAGACATTGTTTACTCTCTGAACGATAATGATATGAGGTAGTGTTGGTCGCTCCTATTTTATTCTCATGTTTTGACGTTGTTAATAAAATGGTTTTGAAACTTTAAATACCATTATTAATAGAAAGTACACAATTTCAAACTGATATTTAAATGTTAAAATGTTTTTTATCAGTTATTGAATGAAAATCTAACCATATAGTCTCTGTAAGTAAAGTCTTAATCAAATATCGATAAATGATAGTTATCTTACTCCTAAATAAAGTCTTAATCCCCAGTCGATATCTTATAACTATCTTATCCTTAAGAAATGGGTTTAATAGCAACGATATCTATAATAATATTTTTCTTAACTTACGTCTTGATCACAGATCGATATCTTAAAGTCATTTTGCTGTTAACGACTTTTACCACAATCGATATATCGTAGTCATCTTACAAGGAAACCTCTTAATCAATAATCGATATTTTACATATGTCTTGCTATGAAGCAACAATTGATATATAATACATATTACGATTCTTAATTTTTTTCAAAACAAAATGCGTTTGTATTCCATAACTCCAAAATAATAGTATAACTAGAAATTGTTATAGGTACTTTAGACGGGCTTTTCACTTATTTTGGCATGTAATTAAAGGCAATGTCTGCAATACATTGACACTCTGTATGAAATCAAAGTACAATCATCATTTGTAAGAGATCAAAGCACTGAGCGTACTGTTTAATAATGCTGTGCAGCGTTAATTTTAAACTGGACCTAAAAAACAGAAGCTGAATTTTTGGAAAACATCACTTATTCTTATCAATAGTAATTGTACACGGGACCACAGGAGGCTTTTAAGGAACCTCTAGAAATATTAAATTGAATTCTTAAGATGTTTTAACGTGATTGACGCATGTGACCTTGAACGTGGGTCAAGGTCATTCATATCTACAAATCTAATAGACAATTATCTTAGCATTATATTTGTGATGTATCGAACCTGTAGGCCTTTCCAAGAGAAGTTTCGTATACGTTGATACCCTGTGACCTTAAAAATGAGTCAAGGTCATCCAAATTAACAATATTTATGGACAATTATATTAATATACTGTATTAAATGTATTAGATATCAAGTCTCTCTGTCCTTTTAAACTCTAGGAGAAATTTCGTATACCTTGGTACCCTACATTAAAGTTTTGAACTTTGACCCCTATGGAAAACCGGAAGTTTGTCTTTTGTGAAAGTGTTGCTTATACCAATCACAATCAAGTCTCCACAGACGGTTGTTGACCAAATCATGTAACTGTTTTACTCTTAAAAATTACGAAAACGTCATTTAATTATATCAATAAATTGACCCCTGTGACCTTGAAAGTCGGTTGAGGTCATGCATATTGTCAAACCTAATAGGCAATCACCTTAGCATTAAGTGTGTGAAATATCAAACGTCTTGATCTTTCCAAACTTCAGAAGAAGTTTCTGGTAGTTTTAAATTGCACTTTTAAACTTTGACCCTACCGAAACCCGGAAGTTTACGTTTTACATTTTAAAAAAATGTCCTTAAAAGGTGCCACTTATTTTCCTTTCTACATAACACATCCAAATATAATTTCAAAATGTCAAGTTATTTTTGTGATATTGACGTTAGGACAAAAATCAAATATGGCGTCAGGGTGGCCATTTTGTTTTTTCGACAAAGTTGAAAATCATGTCAGAATTTAGAGGGCACGTTACTTAACCTATTCCATAACAATTAAGCAAAATTTTATCGTAGGTTCTTGAAGTCATTTTAGTTCAAACTTTTGTCTGCACTTTACATTGAACTATGGAAATTTTAAAAACAAAATAACTATTTGAAAGAATTTCTATTAACATGTATAATAAAAAAAAGTTAGATATGACCCTCCTGTATATAAAATATAATTGTAGCAAATTTGTAGGACATATAGTTTTCGAGTTATTGTTGTTTTTAGAATTTCTGGTAATTGGGTCATGGCGGCTATTTTGGATTTTTGACCTTATCTAAAATTCGGCATTAACAAGTTCAGATGTACTTTCATAACATTCTGTATACGTTGCGTGCCTATCCCTTACCGTTAAAAAGATTACGAAGCCACAAATTTGTAATATTAATAATAAGAAGAAATAACAAAAACAACAGGTCTTTTCATCTTTTGGTGAAAAGCCCTAATTATCTTTTTAATGACAGATTCATGAAACAAATTTCGTTTGATTATTGTTTGTTTTGCTCTAAAGAAAAATTCCTTCGTAAACCAACGACGAAAAAGCAAACGAATAGGAAGAAACAAAAACAAAAGCGACAGTGTCTGCTAGAGTCTGCTACAATTGGATCCTCATTAGACAAAGGAAGCCTCTACCTACCTTTCAGCATTTTGTCGTACTGTGATCTGTGGTCGGTGATACTGAGATCCAGTACACTTACAGGGACGGACATATTTTGGTGAAGTAGTGATGTGTTCACAATCTCTAGCCAGGACGGTTGTACGTCACGTGCTGGCACCACTCCTGGAAATCAAATTTGTTAAAATATGAGTGGAATTACTAATACGGAAGTACACAATAAGAATCTGGAGGTCAATTCTAAATGATATAGCATTTTTTGTTTATGAGCTGTACAGCGTGCATAGATTGCAAAATATTAACACTTCAAGATTTCATTTGATCTTTTAAACATTAGAATAATTTGCTCAATCATTACAATTCAAGAGATTGCCCTAGTTTGCAGTTTTCAATGTGATACAGAGGGAACAGTTACAAAACTGTGATTTATGAATGTAATTATATTCCTTACTGCCTTGTTCTTTAAAATATATTTCTCAGATTTCAAGCAGAGCTATTTTGCGACTATTCGCTGCAAAAAGATATTAGTGTGAAAAGAGATATTTGAAATCGAAAGCTATATATTTGCAGACATCGTTTCATTAATTGAAACCCAATTTAGCGTCCCGTATTACTGAAGAATGTCGTTATATGTCGTTATAACTAGAATACTGAATCAACAAGATCTCATATATTGTGTTAGTATAGACGGAGCTTAACAACATTCCAAATTGAGTTTCGACTAATGGGCAAAGGAACACTCTCACGCCATTGGAGACTCTTTTTTAAAACATTACACTCAAGTAATAATGGAAATGTGTTAATTTAAGGATAGTCACTACTTTTCATACCAACAGAAGGCAATCAGAAGAAATATGCTTAGAAGCATGTTGGAATTGATCAATTTGGAATGGGTTTATTTGAAAATTCAATAGTATCCTTTGAAGCATTAGTCAATATTTACGGTATTTCTCCGTGGTTATTCAGATGAACAGCAGATTCGACCAATCTGCAACACAACACCTGGCGTTGACACTTTTCAAATGTTCTCCAAATTAACTTCAGCGCTACGATAAGTGTTATCGTTAAAACTACGTTTTGTTGCAAATCATATTATTTCCTGGCGCTAACATTTAGCAATATCGATAGAAAACAGCTCCTTGTTTTGGCCATATGAATCTGTCATTTTTACTAGTTTATTGGAGTCAATTATATCAATTTTCACAACATTTTAAGACTTGAAAGGAAGTTTTTAAAAAACAAGTCTTTAAATGAGCTAATTATGGTTCGGGTGAAAATAACCTTTCAGCATACATAAATGATTTAATGTACTTGATGTGAAAAAGCAATATCAGAAGGCTGGTGAAATTTCATTTTTATTTTCTAACTGGCTTAAGTAATGATAATACATTTAACTTTCTGTGACACGCAATAAAGACACCAACATTAAGGTCACGTGCCTCTGTGAAACCTTTCATGGTGCTTTCGTGTTTCATTGTACACCATTAGATTGATGCTTAAGAAATGTAAGATAATTGTTTCTGAAAAAAATAATTGAAAAACATTCAAACATTCTTGAATATAGCTTTCCAAAAGCATTTTCTTTATCTCGACAAGAACTATCCGCGAGTACATTAATAATCTATTTGTATTTATGAAGTATTCATATAGATCATGTGCGTGTAGCTTAAAAAGTCGGCGTTGTCGCTTTCATCGTGAATGAAAACTTGTTTGTAAATGATGGATATTGTACTTTTGCAATGCAATCCATTAATTCTTTTACATCACTTTGTGGTACTGACTTTGTGGTACAGACTTTGTGGTATTGTAGTACACACTTTCTGGTATTGTGGTACATACTTTGTGGTATTGTGGTACAGACTGTGGTATTGTGGAACAGCCTTTGTGGTACAGACTTTGTGGTATTGTGGAACAGCCTTTGTGTACAGACTTTGTGGTATTGTGGAACAGCCTTTGTGGTACAGACTTTGTGGTATTGTGGAACAGACTTTGTGGTACAGACTTTGTGGTATTGTGGAACAGCCTTTGTGGTACAGACTTGGTGGTATTGTGGTACAGACTTTGTGGTATTGTGGAACAGCCTTTGTGGTACAGACTTTGTGGTATTGTGGTACAGCCTTTGTCGTACAGACTTTGTGGTATTATGGTACAAACTTTGTGGTACATACATTGCGGTAATGTTTTACAGACTTTGATGCCACAAGTCGAAAATCCTTATATTATTTCCCCAATGTTCCCACAAATCTACGTCCTGCTCTAAATTTTTCAAACTAACAAAACCCATTAATGAGAACGAGTGTGAAAACACTCAGCACTATACATTTTTAAGTTTATGAAATAAATTAAGAAATCATTTATGAATTATGTTAACTAGTTGTTAATATTTAAAGACGTGTTTCGTATTGATCCTGGTATCATTATAGATACCGGAGTATCTATTCAACAATTCCGTTTAATGTACTGTGTGTAAACAAGCGAAAATTCCTACATTTAAAATGCAATGCAATAGCATCGCGAATGACAATCTACTGACTTCCTGGGAAAACTCTCTGGAGCTGTTCTATCGGGAATAATGAGAGTGATCAGGATGCTGTGAATATAAAACCAATGCTAGGGGCAAGATACCCACCATGTTGTCTGAGTGAGTATCAGGAAGAACTCCACAATTTGCAAATGTTGTAACATGATAAAATTCATGGCGGTTATCTCACAACACGAATTCTTAAAAGTTACAGAAATAGCGTGTCTACCTTACATAACTCTGAGTTTTGTAAACATCAACAACCGCAGGTACAACCACGCAACACGTATTGTTAATGATAAAAGAAATGGCGTGTCTACCTGACATAACTCTGAGTTTAATTAACATCAACAAACACAGGTACAACCTCACAACACGTATTGTTAATAGTAACTGAAAAGCGTGTCTATCTTACATAACTCTGAGTTCTGTAAACATCAACAAACATGGGGACTACCTCACAACACGTATTGTTAATAGCAACTGAAAAGCGTGTCTACCTTACATAACTCTGAGTTTTGTAAACATCAACAAACACAGGTACAACCTCACAACACGTATTGTTAATAGTAACTGAAAAGCGTGTCTGCCTTACATAACTCTGAGTTTTGTAAACATCAACAAACACAGGTACAACCTCACAACACGTATTGTTAATGATAAAAGAAATGGCGTGTCTACCTGACACAACTCTGAGTTTTGTTAGTATCATCAAACATGGGACTAACTCACATCAAGTTTCGTTAATGGTAACTGAAATAGCGTGTCTATCTCAAATAACTTACAGGGACTTCCCCGCAGACATTGAGTTGTGTTGATATCAAACAAGGGCCACCTTACAGACTCTGTTATGTGTTGATATCAAACACTGGAGGCTACCTCACAGACATTGAGTTGTGTTGATATCAAACATCGGGACTACCTCAAAGACATTGAAATATGTTGAAATCGAGCACGGAGACTACCTCACAGACATTGAGTTGTGTTGATATCAAACATCGGGACTACCTCAAAGACATTGAGTTGTTTTGATATCATACACGGGGGCTACCTCACAGACATTGAGTTGTGTTGATATCAAACATCGGGACTACGTCACAGACATTGAGTTATGTTGATATCAAACATGAGGGGATACCTCACAGATATTGAGTTGTGTTGATATCAATCTTAGGGAATACCTCACAGTCATTAAGTTCTGTTGATATCGAACATATGGACACCTCACATACATTGAGTTGTGTTAATACCAACAAATACGGTGGCTGTTCCATAAAATTCTGTATATAATGCATAGATAAGAAAGACCTAATACTGCCTTAAATATTGTCAGAAAAGACAGAGTGCCTCTTAAGTCCGCCAATCTAGCCAATACGAATTTGGCGATTGAATACTGATACCGACAAAATACTGACTTCCCTTACAACCTATTGTGTAATACACGTAGCGCCACAAGTCTAATAAATGTTTTAATATGTTATATAACCTTTGTTATTAGACACAATAACTGATGTTAGATCAATTTTGATGAGTAATAAAATTCATAAATTTATTTAAAAAAAAAAAAAAATCTTACAATCTTACAAATATTGCTCGCTATTCAAACTCCGAAGCTGATTGATTGATGTTGAGACGGTTACGTAATAAAAGTACAATGGATTAATGCTGGTAGAGTTGCTAAAACAATATAGTGTTAATAAAATCACCGTCAAAGTCCGCGATGAAACTACTTCATATAGTAAAATATATGAAATTATTCCTTGAAAATTCCAATCTCATCCCTGCCCTATTACATAATGATTTCCAGTATGTAAAAGCAATTGATAACGCGAAGGTTTTTAATGCTTGTTTCACTTACCAGCCAACTGTAAATGATACACACTCCTATCTCGCCGAAAACAAACTGCATAATATTGTTATAAGATTGTACAAAAGACACACACATGAATGCTACCATTTGGCACAAATTTGGATAAGATAAAGTTGTGCGAAGCAAATAATCAAACTGCATCTTACAATTATTTAGTCCTTCCAGGACTCGTCCGTGATGTTTACATTTAACTGTAACGGACGTTAGAGATTTTAAGTATCACGTGACACCTCTAAAGATACAGGATCCGATAACATGAAACCTCGCTTAGTAAAATGAGGCGTTAGTGAATTATCTTTACCTTTGTGTACTCTATTCAACTCATCTATACCACGCGGTGTATTTCCTGGACAAAGAGAAGGATAAAACTTAAAAATCATCGCCCTATTTCTCTAAGTGATGATAAAGTGATGGAAATATGTATTTTAAAGCATGTTCACAATTGTTTTGATTGTTTACAATTTATTAATCGATTGTCAGTCTTTATTTCGTCCAGGGGATTCAGCAACCAATCAGTTTTAATTATATGATTAAATGATTATGTCGCAAGGGCAGTTGACTCGGGGCGTTTACTACATATTGTGTTTTGTGATATAAGCAAAGCGTTTGACCGCGTTTGACACAAAGGCCTTCGACACAAACATATCATCATAGGTGGAGTCCTATTTGGAATAAATCAAGGCTTGCGTCCCTCAAGGTTGAATCCTATGACCTTAACCTATTTACTTTATATGAATGACGTTGTTTATGATGCTGGATTTATAATTGAGCTCT